ACGCACGCACACACTGTTGTCATCTGTTGATGACAGGTCAATTTTATATGAGTTCTGTCAACACTGAAGAACAGAGTTGGGATAAAATACTACATTCAGTCAACAGTTTTGCGACGAGCACAAAGACTCATTTAACCGCCCGATCAGGGCTAATATCTGCCCTCCCTCAAGAGATAGAACTGTTCATGAACAAGTCTCCTCTGTCTTGGCCGTGCTGTATAGAGGACTCAGTGCCAGGACAAGTCCAACGTGGGACTGTGGGGCTCAGAGACAATATTGGATAAATCTGTTTCCTCGCTCTGGCACGGCTGGCTGGCATTGTGCACTGAGCGATGTGCTCACCGTCTGGTGCCAGGACAGATGCTATACAGCAGTCTTTGACCATTTGATGGCCAATACAGATGACATGGGAAGATTTGATGACAGAGTCAATCTAAATACAAAAGAGTCAAAAAAAAAGAATGGGTGCCGTCAGAATGAGAGTCCAAACAGCTGATAAAGACATGATTCTTAGTCCTCCTTTCCGTTCTTTCAATTGCTTTACATATACGTCGACATTCCATGTCCATTATTGTGAAACCCGCGAGACACAACAAAAACACAGCTCCGATCACAGCGTCCTCCATCCTCCTGTTGTTAATGTTGTTCTTTTTTGTTTCTGTTGTTGAACGCCGCACACAAATGACGACGCTGTCGACCGGCTTCCGTCACTTCTTAGTACACACTGTCGGTGCGAATGCAACCCTTTAAATGGTACTGGGAAATAGTTAGCACAAAATCGTCCCAGTACTTTAGTACTGTACATTTAGTTCTGGAACTAAAGCGGTGCGAAAGGCCCTAATAATACACACCACTCCCGTCCATCAGTTAATGTCTGGAGAAGACAAAAGAAACAAATCCATCAAGACATTTTTAACATCAAACTGTTGCCTCCAGCTAAAATACAAGTCCATAATCCATAATAACGCTTCCTCCAGTGAAAAAGTCATCTCATCTGAATCAGGAGAGAAATTTGCACAGATCAAACACTATTTACAAGCCAAAACAGCTCTAAACAAATATGTGGCTGGATTTTAATGTAAGAGGAAAACAGGAGATGGACTTTTTCACTGGAGGAAACATTATTATGGATAGCGGACTCATATTTTAGTGAGTTACGGTTTAAAGTTAAAACGTCTTGATGGATTTGTTTCTTACAAACATGCAGCTTTTGGCTTCACAAGACATTAATTGATGGACTGGAGTGGTGCAGATTACTTGTGGATTATGTTTTTTTTTTTTTCCG